CGAACTGTAGAATTGTGAAGTGATATAGCAATTGCATTTCTGAGTAAACACACAAAAATGAAAGCAAACCAGGTGTGGTGACACATGTCTTCTGGGAGGAAGAGGCAGGTAGGTCTCTGTGAGATTGAGGCCAATATGGTTTACAAAGTGAGTTCTAGTCGAGATGGGGTTACAGGGAAACACTGTGTAAAACCAAAACCAAACCAAACCAAAACAAGACAAAAAAAGAAAAGAGATTCAAGCAGAGATTTGGACAGGCATTTGGCGCCCCATGTTCATATTAACTTCACAACAGCATAAAGATGGCACAGCGGGATGACCATCGCTGCATAAGTGGATACTAAGACAAAAAAAGAAAAGAGATTCAAGCAGAGATTTGGACAGGCATTTGGCCCCCCATGTTCATATTAACTTCACAACAGCATAAAGATGGCACAGCCGGGATGACCATCGCTGCATAAGTGGATATGAAAAAATGTAACAATATACAGATAGAATATTTTTCAGCATTAAACAGGCAGCAGATTCTGGCATGTGATACAGCATAGATGAAGGCCGAGGACTCTAGTGTTAGTCAAATAAGACAGACAGCGATGGACAAATCCCACACGCTCCCCTGACATACATCTTTGGGAGGTGTGAGATCTTGTACAGCACGATATAAGTAAGTCTTGATTCCAGGGTCTCTGAGAAGTGAGTTATCACTTAAGGGTTCCGGGTGTCATTCTACAGGTGGCACCAGTTCCAATCCAGTGTTTATTGCACAATTTGAAGGTTCTGTCTGCTGTTGAAATGTATAGCAGGTGATGTCAATAAAGGTAGGTTTTGTGATATATATATTCAATAACATAAGAATCTTGTCTTTAATTTTTATTTATTTATTTTTATTTTATGTGTGAGTATTTTGCTTGCATGTAACTGCATGCTTGTGTGCAATACTTGAAGAGGACAGAAAAGGGCATTGGATTCCCTAGAACTGGAGCTACAGATGGTTGTGAGCCACTATTTGGGTGCTGAGAATTGGACTCTGGTCTTCTGCAAGAGTAAGCAGTGTTCTTAGCTGCTGAGACAGCTCTCCAGCCCCTAGAATCTTAAGTCTTTTAAAAGTCCCTGCTTTTCTGGAAAAAATAAGAACATGGTGAGTGTTCTAGAAAAAGTTTCAAAGTTTTGCCAAAAATTTGCAAAACATTTCCACACACATGGTCACAGAAGATTCAAAAATCAGCCCAGAGATGCAAAAGTTCATACCCTTGTTTCCCAAAGGAGAGAAATAAGGTTCAAACAGTGGAAAAAATCTTACCACAGAGTGGCAGAGCTGGGGATTGTGTTCAGATCTCTGATATCTGTTTTTCCTTTTTTGATCAGGATGGATTCCTCAAGTAACAGAACGCTTCCAGTGCCCCAAGGTTTCTAAAGCGCGATTTCATCCCTAAACTGTCCTTCTGGGCCCGAGATGAGTCATGGCACATCAAACACCATGAGACTGTAGCCCAGTTCCCACCTGGCCTATGGCTAGTGACAATGGGCAGACAGGTCTGGCTGGGTCCCCAATGACTGATGTCAGATGTTCTACAAGCTCCCAAAGTTGCCCTGCACAGCCAGAGAGAAGGACATGCACACAGAAATGTGGCATTGCAGTGTGTGGGGGCAGCAATGGGATTTGGTAGGTCTCTGCTGTATTACTTTGTTACACACACACACACACACACACAGACACAGACACAGACACACACACACAGACACACACAGAGACACACACACAGACACACAC